TTTTTGACGGCTTTTATTTTTTTTTCTCGAAAACCAAGTGAGATACGGTAAAAATACAATAGGCAAAGACGTTGTATTTTTAGATGTTTAATCAAAGAACAAATATTAGAGTTACAAAAAAGACCATGGCGTACATTTTTTTGTCAAGATTACTCGCTACAGTGCCCATCCAGACGCCACTGGACCTACTAATTCAAATCTATTTAGAGCTAAACTGGCCTCTTAATATAGCAAATAATATTGCCGAATTTCAACAAAATCGAGTAAATATTTTTTAAGACCGTCAGGGGTATCACCTAATTTGAAAAGTGATTTTTTTGACATTATGCTGTATTTTTTTGACATTATGCAGGTTATTCTACAAGATATCAGTTTTTAGTAATTTATAACCTTTGAACATAACCTCTCTTCAGAAAGCACAACATATAAATAACCCGTCATATTCAACATATTCAGTAATGATTTTCTCACACAGCAAATATCACTAATTTTATACACATTTAGACCAATACACATAATCACCCAGATGCGATCGTGCTATTCAACCAACTTTCTTCTCAGAGATAAAAACTACAGACACGGATCAGTCAGCGTCACAAAACTATGCAACCAATAATGCGTGTAGTTTATTTAGTTGAGTGAGTCCTTCATAGATGGACGTTCACAGCGCTCCTAGTGAGCAAACGTGAAACGACTGTTTGCGCCCTAAAAACTACCTAGTCTGCAACTTGACATCTTATAGGTTTTTTTTTACGTTTTGTAGGTTTTTTACATGATACCCGTGCGGACCTATGTTTATAGAAACCTTTTTTTCATATTTTTTAAAACATCTCGGTTTATTTTTCGAACACCCTGAATAATCAAGTATCTCATGTGACAGTGTGCCATTGCAAAATAGTATCTAGGAGACACCTACGACTATCTAGTCCCCGTAAGTTTCTTACGGACGTATTCAGAAATTCGGCGTTTGCCAGACTGTTACTTATCAGTTGCACAAAATATAACAGTCTATTAAACAATAGTCGTATTCACCAAGACTTTTTGGCTTCTGATAACAAACTGACTGTCATACAAAAGTCTTACATTTTTTTAAGTTGGTGCCTCTTGACAAAAAACGAGAGAGCCACATCTAACCTCACTTTATCGCTGCTGTGTGTTGTCATGTGGTTGTCATTCACAGTGCCAGTTTTGTAATGGTTTTGCATCATGGAAAAGTCATAAAAAAAGATCAGCTCAATATACGTCACGAGACAATAATTTCCTTGGTTTAAAGATATTGAAGTAAAAGGTTGTCCAATAGGGATGCAGGAAAGTAAACGTCAATTTGACATCTCTCATATCTGTATTCTGTCACCGACATGTCATTTTGTTAGATGAATGTTTACCATTGATCGCTATGGAGTCGTATTCGATTGAAGACGGCATTAAAGTTATTCAATAGCACTACAAAAATGGTGCAAAAATAAAAAAAACGTTTCGCGCGCTTCGTGAACATTTCGGTCGCAACAACCGCCCAAACGAAGCAACCATCGGTCGTCTGGTTCGTAAATTCGAGGCAGCAGGTTCTGTGGCAAATCTGCCAGGAGCGTTCGCACACCGGAAAATATTGCTGTTGTGAAGGAGAGTGTGAGAGACGATCCGAAACAATCAACAACGCGTCGATCCCAAGAATTGGGCATTTCGAGAACCAGTTTGCTCCGCATTCTCCACAAGGATTTGAATGTACACGCCTACAGTATATTCAGATAAGAGATAGACCGGACATAAACAAGACCACGTGATCATCGAACGCTGTAACATTCGGCAGGGACGTATTAAGAGTCACGCAGTACATATTTTAGATAGTAGAGGCTGCTTTGCGTAACTTTGTAGTAAATTAGCACAATTCGATGTGTATACGATTGGTGATGGATATAGGATCATGTGGGGGTGGGGTAAGAAATATATAATGATGTAAATATACATAAGGGTTTCAAAATTTTCGCTTCGATTTCCAGCTTCGGATGCCGCCTGATGTTTGGTGAAATACAGTCGAATATAATCTCAAAATGGCGTTTAAATTAGCCTAAATTAAAAATAATCGTATATCTCTTAAAATTGCTTTTAGAATATTGATTAGTATATTTTTTGATTTCTAGGTAAATATGTAACCAAATTAAAACGTTCAAAACGTAAAAAAATGTGCATGGTTGAACATTGTCAGAAAATAGATTCTTGAATAGGTTTTGCCAAAATGGGTTCAAAAATGTCAATAATTAATTAAAAAATACAGTACCTTTATAATTACTTATAACTTACCGAATTTGATGAACGACATCTTTTATTGGAAAGATGAGCTTGATGAGCTTTCATCATCGCTACTGCCTGAAGCACCGACGTCAATAATGAATGGCTCGACTTTTTCCTCTAAAATATTGTCCAGTTCCCACATTCTCTTTTCAACTTTGTCTTTCACGTGCTTAATACAGTTTTCCCATTTTTGCGCTGTTATTAATTCTGGTGCTTCTTTGAAAAGTCCTTTGAGGTCACAAAATTTAAAAGTTGTATTGTGCTTAGCTATATAATTTTTAACCTCTGCCCATATGAGCTCAATGGGATTGAGCTCGCAATGGTATGGAGGTAAACGGAGCACAGTTTTATTTTGACTTGCTGCCATTTCGTCAATGGCGTATTTTTGATATTCCGCCTTGTGATCCTTGACAATTCTTAATAATTGTAGTTTCAGCATTGCTTCTTCAAAGTTGATATTTTTCGAGCGGAGCAAATTTTGAACATCAACTTTCCTTGAAGCCGTTGGGACCTTCTCCATTCTTCGAGAATGATAAGGCGCATTATCCAACACAATTACTGCGTTTTCCTCTAAGTTCGGTAAAATTTTTTAAACCACTGTTCAAACGATTCGCCATTCATTTCCTCGTGGTAATCTCCAGTTTTCTTAGACTCAAAGCACCACAGACCGTCAACAACAAATCCATCCTCACTGCCAATATGGCAGATAATGAGCCTTTTCCCTTTACCTGGAAATCGAAGTACTAACTGGTGTAGATTTATTTCTATAAGCGAACCTTTTTCAAATGTTTTGATCACATTCAGCGAAAAAACATTGAGACATGAGTATCAGATTGCTATAATTGGGATTATTTAGTCATATTGAAAGAAAGAATATTGAACGTCGTATGATTACTCAGCGCTCCACAATTTAATTTAAAGTTATAAATCTTTAAAAAATGAATGATCAGGAACCTGAAATACGCGCAAATATTAATATTAACAAATTATAACTTTATAAAGCTTAAAGTATGAATTAAAATGATTAGAAATATTAGGAACGGTACACAATATAAAACTTAGTAACTTTTTTTAAGTTTATAATATTCGACATATTTTAGGATTATATTAAAAAATTATTGAAATATCGAAAACACATAAAAACATGGCTTAAAAAAGTTCTAACAATTGAAAATGACAATAAAACATCCACGCATTTTATCGAAAGTTATAAAAGTTTTGTTACTTGTAATATGTTTTATCTGCCCCCTGGAATTAATGTTTAGAACCTTGTTCCCAAGGTTTGAAAAACATCCGATTGTAGTCTATTACTCGTATTTACCTGCTGGATTTTTTAATCCGGTGGACAGTCCATCTAGAAAGGCCCTCCTGGATGAAGTTACAGAATAATCAACCCATACTTTACTTGTAGTGTGTCCTGCGTTTACCCTCGTTTCATCAAGGTAATAAATCTTCCTGTTTTGATTTCTATATTTCCCAATTTTTGTTAAATAATCCCTCCTCCATAGCACAATTTCTTCTCTATCCAGTAGTAAACTATTAGGACCCCGTTTTTTCCATTTGAAATTTAAATGCTTCAGTAACGCATGGAAAGTTGATCGTTTGAAATTTGGCAACGTTGTATCTCCATTTACCTCCTGCAGTACTTTATCTATAGTAGGTATTTCATTCCTAAAGAAGAATTCATGCACTTTCCTCCTAATCACATGCTTATCAGCTTCATCCAATGATTTAACAATACTTTTGCGATGTTTACTGGTCATTGGCTCAGAAAAGGTGTGATTTTTTTTGTATTGTCTTAACACATTAAACACTGATGCGCGACACACCCCAACTTTGTGAGAAACCTTCACAACAATTTCTTTGATGGTTGATGCCTCGTTCTCCTCGCGCTCGATTTTATATATATTCAAAATGACCTCTTTCATTTCTGCACTCAGGTGTCTTTTTTTAGAGCGTTTCCTAGGTGGACTACAGGAGTTTACAACTTCATCGGCAGTATCTGTACTACTGGGCATTTTGCGCAAGCAGTTGATAACAATAACAATCAATAACAAGGTATAACAATAACAACGACAAACTCAACAACTTAATAAGATAACAAACGAAAACGTCCAAAGAAATATCAAATTGCAATGATGCACACGACATACGTAACACGTCTGAACCTGAATGTGACTCTGCCTTGATACGACTGCTCTGCCGCTCGGCATAGGCATTTAATTGCGAATTGACCAATGAGGGCTCCTGTTTTACGTCGAGACGGCGGCGTTAGCGTGAAAATCACCCGAACCTTTTGTTTACATCCGGTCTATCTCTTATCTGAATATACAGTACAAGATCCAATTGAGGCAAGAGCTGCGTCGGGCCGACCATTTTTCGCGCCGAACGTTCTCAGATTGGCTCCTTGAACACCGCCAAATTGATGCCAATTTTTCATCAAATATCGTGTTCAGCGACGAATCGCATTTCACTTTGAATGGGACGGTAAACAAGCAAAACTGCCGCATCTGGGCGAACGAACATCCCCGTGAGTATCAGGAGCAGCCGATGCATCCTCAAAAAGTGACTGTGTGGTGTGCATTGTGGTCAAAATCATCATCGGACCTTACTTTTTCGAAAATGCGGCCGGGGACGCCGTTACCGTCAATTCTGAGTGATATCACGCGATGATAAAGGACTATTTTTTGCCGCAACTTGAAGAAATGGATATGGACGATGTTTATTTCCAACAAGACGGTGCAACATGCCACACAACCAACGTCAATATCCATCGATTGCAGTCCTTTTTCGGTGATCGCGTGATTTCGCGCAGAGGAAATGTGCCATGGCCACCAAGATCGTGCGATTTGACTCCCTTGGACTTCTTTTTATGGGGATATTTGAAAAGCAAAATCTACGTCAACAAACCAGCTACCCTCCAAGAACTCAAAAACAACATCATTGCCGAGATAAATGCCATAGAACCGACCATGTTGCAAAATGTCATTGAAAATTTCGACCATAGCGTGGACGTCTGTAAATCCAGTCGTGGTGAACATTTGAGCGATATTATTTTTCATACATAAATGGTATAAATGAACCTTCAAAATAAAGTACCCAACTTCAATCTTTCCTGTTTCAATATGCGTTTACTTTCCTGCGTAGGTTTTGGACAACCCCATATAATTGAAAACAAAAACAAGCAGAAAAATGAGTGTTTGGAGAAGCTTGCCTGGGTATTCCATTCAAACAACTGGCCTCAGAACTGGCCAACAACTAAAAAGCTTAACAACTTAAATCTGAAGACAAGGTCAGGATTTGGACAAAGAAATTAACTTGTTCTCTTTTTTCAGGTGAATTTGTTAAACACGGATAGTGGGGTATCTATCCCTTGAACTACTACGACATTTGATGAAAAAGTTTTAATTCTTTTATTTATATTAAATAAGAATATATGAAGTATTTATCACTACATTGAATTACTATTTCTGTTCCCATGAAGATAAAAGTGCCGATGATAACTTATAAGCAAAGTTATACATATTAAATGTAATATACATAAAATAATTTCCATAAGAATTTTATTTTAGACGGGTAGCCACTTTGAAGGCATACATCTTTACATGATAATTAATTTCCTCATGACAACATAAAAATTGATGAAATTATTGAGTCTCTTGCTGCAGTATTTTGAGATCCAATTCGGACCTGGATCTCTTCAATTTGTTCCATTTCAGGTCCATTCTCATAAAAATCGATAGTGCCATTCTGTTCTGAGCACATGTTGTGCAGCACAGCGAATGCCACAGTAACCTAACACATAGTTTCAAGTTTTAGCCCCCATATCAAGATTTGGTTTTCTTTTGAGATTGGCTGGTTCCTTTCATTTATCGGTTCTGTAACATTTTCCAGTCGCCTATTTTTATTTATTTTAAGTCTTCCTTTGAACTCCAAATCATCTAGTTCTATCAAGGGAAACCTCCTAGTTCTTACAGTTTTTTCTTTCGGGTTGTCTTCAATGTCACTCATGTCTAGTAGTAGTAGAAAGATTTATTTAGCACATTTGGCTACATAAACAGAATAATTGTAGACCACTTAGAACTAGTAAATTCAAGCCAGATGGTGTATGATGTAAATGCTGGGCAACCTATAATTGTAGATTTAACAAATAATTTCTCAATTTTACTTTAAATTTTGTCAAAGTTTTCTGGTCTTTTATCTCTGAGTATAATTTATTATATTCAATCAACCCTTGATGGAATACAGATTTGTAGCATATGTTATACTTTTTGGTCATTAAATGGAATCTTTATTTCTGGTATTATGTAAATAATGGTCGACATTTTATGATGTTAAATTAGTTAGACTCGATGGAGATATATTATTTTTTACTTTATAAATGAATATCATTACAAGATATTTGATAACATTTTTTATATTGAGCCATTTTAATTTGCTAAGCATTTGCCTAATCGGAGTATATTTATCTTTATTTAGTATTATTCTCATGCACTTATTTTGTAAAATTTGCAGTCTTTCAAAAATGGAATTATTTGCTAAATATAGAATAGTCGAACAGTACAAGAAATTTGGAAGAATGATGGTATTATAGATAATTTTTCTGCTATATGAACTCAGACATCCAGAAACTCTCGATAAATATCCCACTTTACTACTAATCTTATTTATAACTTTTTCATAATGAATATCAAAAATTGATCGGGAGTCGACAAAAACCCCCAGGTATTTAAAATTTTCTACGAATTCAATATGTACACCATCAATATTCAGTTGAACATTTGTACATTGATTTTTTCCGATTAACAAGGCTTTCGTTTTACTTGTATTTAATTTTAGTCTGTTAGATGCTAACCATTTTGAGACAAGTTTCAAGTCTTCATTTATATAAGAGATACCAGATACCAGTCTTAATATTTTTAGTACTTATATAAATCATAGTGTCATCGGCGAAAATCTGAATTTTGCATTTTTTGACTATGGCAGGTAAATCATTTATGTATAAAATAAAAAGAAGTGGTCCCAGGATACTGCCCTGTGAAACACCCAACCTATATTCAATTTTTGATGAAATAGTGTCATTAACTTTTGTGACTTGCATCGTTTTAGACGAATAATTTCTAAACCAATCTAAAACACTTCCTGTTATACCATATGCCTTCAATTTACCTAACAAAATATCTCTATCAATCGTTTCAAATGCCCTCTTCAAATCCAAAAATACTGCTATGACAACTTCTTCTGAGTCTATGGTTGTTCTCCAATTCTCAGTTACCAACTGGAAAGCCGTTTCTGTGGAATATTTTTTTCGAAAGCCTGCTTGCGCCTCCACTAAAATTTTGTTTTCTTCTATAAACTGCATTAATTGGTCATGCACTATGGACTCTAATAGTTTTTCAATGTCTGGTAACACATTTACTGGTCTCACATCGCTGCATCTTTTAGAATTTTTTATTTTGGCAACTGGTGTTATTGTAGAGCATTTCAAATTTTCAGGAAAAGAACTGCTTCTCAGTGAACAATTGATCCAATTTAATACAGGATATCCCAAAATTTCGAAACAGTTTTTCAGCACGTTTTAGTAGTGATTTCGGAACACTTGTTATTTGATTTTAAACTGTTTACTTTTTTTCTTAGACAATTCAATGATACGCTGTGAAAATTTAAGAAGATTCTAATATGTCCATAATATCAATTCTACTGAGGCTATCTATATTTATACTTATACAAAACAAGCCCTTACTCGCTGTTCGCTGACTGTATTTTGTAAATCACTTCTACGAAATCTCCAGGCAAAATAAAGTCGGGATGACACTTTTGACTCTTTAGTATTAAACAGTCAGTTAGTGGTTTACCAGTCCAACATCGCACTGTCAACTTATCCATGACTTTAACAGACTGTTTGCTATGATGTGTTGATGGTGAATACTAAAAATGGATTCAACAATGTGTTAAATAATTTAACAGTCTGTTAGGGAATGGTGAATACGGCCGTTAATGCAAAGTAAGCCGAGTGATTGTCAAGAAACTCAATGTAAAGACCCAGAAATGTGTGGCTTTCTACCATAGTAGTACTGCGTAAGCATCGGAGCAGGTACAGCTCGGATTTCATAGAAAAATAAATACTTTGGGATGTATTTACTATCAACTTGTTTTCCGCAATCCATTCTGAAAAAAAATTAATAAAGGCATGTTTGACCAGGTCCAGTTTCATTGTAACACCCCTAATTTACTTGTCTGCAAGTAACATATAATTTCAGGATCTTCCATCATAAATGGGAAGTCACTAGAGTCAAGAAAGAGATAAGGCGGCACCACCTTTCAATAGACTGAATCATCCTTATCTAATCTGGACTCAAAGCAGGTGCTGAAGCCGTTCTGTTTCACCCTCGTCACTTCCCGCCACATGGCTCAAGAGGCTAACGATCAGAACTTAGGGGGAGACGCTACATGCCGTGATAGTCGATTTCAAAATTTTAAGTGTGCCGAACAGATCTTCGAGCCGTGCTGGGACTATTGATCTTTCCGGTCGTATGCCTATGATGACAAAAGATACAGCCATCCAGAATCAACTTTATTCAATTACTATTGTTGACGTTTTAGCTGCATTGGCAAGAAAGTTTTGGCAGAAATTCATTCAAACACTAACTAGTTATCATAAATTACAACTCAATACTTAACCAAACTATACTATCGAATTATGTGGAGTGGCCCTTTCTGCTCCACCAGACGCAACCTTCCTCGAATGTCTCTCATTAGGTCCTGGACGGAATTCAGATCAATCTCAGTTTTTCGTAAATTCGTTGTCTTAAGGCGGCTCCGACGCAGTGAGTTTCAAGCCATTTACAAGGCTTCAGCTGCTTCAAAACTGACACTCCATTTTTCAATATTTTTCAATGAAATTCATGCAGTATGTTGAGAAGATAACTGCCCAGGGTGCTATAGGAGCACTTTTTGAAATTTTGTTTTTGCACAAGTTTTATGATGGGTTCAAGTGCGCACGTTTTTTTGTTCAACTTCGCGATTTTTTTAAAAAGAACCTAGTCAAAAAAATGAAAAAGTGGCTCTATAGCACCCTGTGGGGTTTTCTTTTCAGCACACTGTGAAAATTTCATCCAAAAATATCAATAAATAACGCGTCAATTTTGAAGCGCGCAAACCTCTACAAATCGTATTTTAGACGAATTTTGTCTACTGTTTCGTGCTGCCAAACCAAGCGATGCCGCGCAATGTACGGACTAACAAAGGACGTATTCAGATAATTTGGTGGCCCTATTTCATATAATATCGCATAGATAAGTCCTTCTGCAAATAGGTACTCATAATCGCGATCGCTGATACTCCTATTGTAATCGCGAAAAATTTTTAAAATGAGATGTTATGTTTTTTAAGTCATATCGCTGGCACTATACAAAGTTATGACCCCTGAACATTACTTTGTAATATTCCAAGGTAATAGGTATTTGTGAAAGATATAAATATATACTACGCGACATATAAATCCGAACACCCAGTTTAAATGGTTTTATTTCAATAAAAGTTGGTGAATGGATTTATCTTACTGTAAATAACAAGTGAAAAAATGTTCAGCCTTATCAGTTGGACATTCCGGTTTTTATACTGCTTTCTTTTAATTCACTAATGCTCTAAAAATGAATATTTCAGTCGCAGTAAAGAATCAACGTTGGCGGATTTTGGTTCTTGACATCCTTTACGATCGGTTACGATGCATAGAGTACGGAGACCTGTACGATTTCATCAACTTAGTGAGTTTGATAGGGGCCGTATAGTGGGACTTCGGGAAGCTGGACTTTCTTTTCGGGCAATTGCAGTTAGAGTGCAAAGAAGTGTAAACACTGTGGTTAGGTGTTGTCAGGCGTGGCTTCGAGAAGGCCGTATGCAAAGAGCACGGGGCACTGGACGCCGCCGTAGAACAACAGACCGTAAAGATCGCCGCCTAAGATTATTGGCCTTAAGGGGCCGTTTCTCCACTACCAGGTCCATTGCAAATGAATGGTTTGCAGAACACGGAAGACCTATTGGCATGCGAAGTGTTTACCGACGAATGAGAAGTTTTGGCTGGTTTTCATACCGGCCACACTGGGTCCTCCCTTTAACTCGAGAACACCGACGTAATCGCCTTGAGTGGTGCAGACAACGGTCACTCTGGGATCAGGAATGGAACAGTATTGTCTTTAGTGACGAGTCTCGATTTTGTTTAGGCATGCACGATGGTCGTGCCAGGGTTAGAAGGCGACGTGGTGAAAGGAGGAATCCACAGTTTTTTGTTGAAAGACATGTTCATCACACTGTTGGAGTTATGGTTTGGGGTGCTATAGCTTATGGTTCAAGGTCACCTTTAATCTTCATCAGAGGTAACATGAACGCGCAGCGTTATATCCCCGAAGTTCTAGAACCCCATCTTTTACCCTATCTTGACACCCTGGCAGATCCAACTTTCCAACAAGATAATGCCCGACCACATGTTGCAAGAGTCACAATAGACTTC